CATACCCAGTGGCATTATGATATTTACTGTCTTATTATCTATCCCTTTCCTAATAGTTAAGGCTATGTTTATGTCACAGAGGTCATGGAAGTCATGGAATCCGTGACTTCCAGATACCTCTGTGACATTCTCTGCTTCAGGTCCAGGGGCTGCAGGACTCTGGAACTGACAGCCAGTGGGGCCCTGGCAGTGTTCCAGCAACAGGCGACAGCAGTGACAGGGGGCTCTCTGCAAAGTTCCAGCAACAAGTGACAGACTCCTGAGGGGGCCCTCCCCAGGGTTCCTGCGACGGGCGACAGCCTGGAATGGGGGGACGCCTCCGGCAAGCGGCTGGGGTGTCCCATTTTCTCTTTGGGAAATATGGTCACCGTGCAGCTCCCAGCCGCCGTGGGCGGAGGGGGAATCCCACAGCTCCCAGACACCACAGTGGTGGGGGAAAACCATGGAGCCGCAGCAGCAAAAGCCACAGACAGGTCACGGCTTCCGTGAATTTGTGTTTATTGCCCGTGACCTGTCCATGATTTTTACTAAAAATAACCATAACAAAATCTTAGCCTTACTAATAATTTCTAACATTCTGTTTGCTTTTTTGACTGCTGCTGAACACTGAGTGGACATTTTTAGAGAACTATGCACCGTGATGCCAAGATCTCTTTACTGAGTCGTAACAGCTATTTTATACCCCATCATTTTATATGTATAGTTGCCACCCTACTTTGTATGTATACACTGCTATCCTTTCCCGCTCAAGTGTATTCGAGATCAGACCTGTTTGTGTATATGTGACTATGTTCAGCCTCTAGTAGCTACAATCTAAAAAAAGCTATACTTCCTAATACTTCTATAAAACCACATATGTTTTTATAGGTTATAATTAGTCAGTGGGCTCATGAAGCCTTTGTTTTTGTATTAGCAAAATTTCAGTTATCACAGTTTGGTTTTTCTACAGAAGGACAACATGAGAGCCAACTCTAGTTTTTAGTTTTCACTTTACAGCTGAAAGGAATGTAGCCTTTTAGAATATGGAGGATTTTATATTTTCCAAGTTTCCCCTGATAGACTTCACTAAAATAAATATAATATTTTTCTCATCTTTTAAATTAATAGAGATATCCCATCTCCTAGAACTGGAAGGGACCTTGAAGGTCATCAAGTTCAGTTCCCTGCCTTCACTAGCAGGACCAAGTACTGATTTTGTCCCAAATCCCTAAGTGGCCCCCTCAAGGATTGAACTCACAACCCTAGGTTTAGGAGGCCAATGTGCAAACCACTGAGCTATCCCTCCCCCCCCCAATTTTATTCAAAATTTGAATAATTTTGCTCTGCTTCTAGTACTACAGAGATTAAAAAATAAAAAACATGCAAATTCCAAGCTCAACAATACTTATACAATATACTTATAAGAGCAAGAACTAAATGATGTCCTCTTCTTCTCTGAAAATTGACAAAACGCACACTGAAGAACATGCAGTACAAGAGGCACAACACAGCTAAAGATATACGGGAGCAGGCAGTAAACACGCTCCCAACATTGCTCAAATTCAAATACAAGCCCACAGGAACGCAATCTTCACAGTGGCCATAATTAATATAGAAACATGTACATGTAGCACACAGGAAAACAGCTTCAGCAATGCATGAATATACATAGGAAGAGGCAAAAGTAGCCTTTCAACATTGTCAATATCCACATAAAAGCATATGGTAAACCAGACCCTCACATAAGCAAAAATGCATATAAGAGCACAAAGGAAACTGGCCCCAACATTGCAAAAAAAACATATTTTAATGAAAGGGGTGGGTTCGGCTTCAAATGATTTGGTGTTTGTTTCAGATAAATATTTAAAAGTTCAGATGCTTACCCAAACTATCCAGTGGACCCTTGAGAGACCCTCCCCCCTACGTGTCTTCGTACCTGGCGTTGTCTTTTGGATGGAAGTCTGGTGTCATTCTTCCCCGACACTGGCATCATCTGAGGTGAATGGCTGATCTTCGCCACTTCCAAAACACTCCCACCCCACACACCGACTTCCCCACCCTACAAACCCTCCTTCTACCAACACCCAGGATCATAATCCTATATTGAGAGCTCAGTGAGGGATACCTCTCGGGGTCAGGATGGGCTTGGAGAAACCAGGGACGGGCCTGGGAGAGGAGATAAATTAAAACAGTATTCTTATCATCTTTCCTTTTTCCCCAAATCTGGAAATGGAAAGGGATTCAAAACACCTAGTCTTGGGGTCTGAATCTAACACACTGAATCTGACATACCCCAAAGTCAAGAGGTGTGTTGTTTGGATCTGATGCTCTAATAGAGGCCCAATGTTAGTATTTAAAGCCTCAAATAATATATTGTAGGAACAGCCTACCTGTTTCCTGCCTTGTGTCCTTTCACAGCACTTAAGACTAATGAGGTTGGAGGTGCTTGCCATCCTGTGGTACAATTTCAATAGGATGAGAAATCCCTATCTCATCTGGGTCATCCTTTCAATTGACACTCAAGGCATTTTTGTTTCCTTTTCCATTTGTGACTGGTTGTTTTATCCACTGTATGTTTGGGTTGGAGGTGATTTCCTCTTCTCACCCATTCAGGAATTTATTGGCCTATGTTTGCCATTTTTAATGGGGATGTTTCAGATTCTTGAACACAAACACCATCTGAATGTATTTATTATTGTTTCTCTCCACTTCTGCTCACAGAATTTATTTTAGTCTTTATCTGAACTCTCTATGAAACTGCTCTTCATGTCCAAAGGCAAATCATTCTGTCTCTGGCAGACTTGCAGATGGAGCAGGTAAATCCCCATTTCTGGCAGAATTCATGGGACTACTCTAGTCACAACATCTTGTCTCCATTAGGCCCGAACACAGGCTCTCTCCTGATCATTGGGCCTGGTTTCTCCAGCACGTATGGGGCATCATACTCTCATATTTATTCCACTAGCTGATTTTCCCAATCATTTGGAAGGGTAGGGGTATTTCTCACTCTTCACTTGCTTTCTAGGTCTCCTAATTACCTCATTTTGCTGCTTCCCCCTCCCTTTGGCCAAATGGCCAAAAACCTTAAAATTCTGCTGTTTCCTCCCTCATTCTCCCCATCCCTTAATTGCTCTCGTTATTTTGGCCAAAAAGACTGTAGAAAAGACTGTCACTCAAGGGGGCTGTGTTGTTACCCCTTTATACTGTATTCAGCCCATCCAACAGCCTCAGGAACTCATGGTCTATCCAGCCTGCAGACTCCCTTCATCACTCTGAGCCATAAGGTGAAAGGTTCAAACCCCACAAACAGGCATTTGGCTAGTACTCAAGGCTTGCACACCATCCTGTACAAGACAGCTGTTGGGTAGGGATAACCACGTTGCCCTTTAATGAAGATGCTCCCTTCCAATGCAGTGCTGGTGATAAATCATGGTAAGAGAAAGGCCAGCCTGTGGTACTTCTAAGTTTTAAACATGAGGGAGACTAATCCTGGCAACCTCAGCTCCCATCCTCTTCTTCCATCAAACCTCTTTGGATGCCCAAGGCTGCCAGGCGCAGATAACAGCCTTTGGCTGATATACACCGTGGAGGTTTTATTGAGGGCTGTACTGCTTACCAAGCACTTGCAGCTCCCTCTCTTCATTCCCTCTCGCTTTGCCCCTTCCCTCCAATCTACTGTGCCTCATGCCCACTCCTGCGGCCCCTGGCTGAAGAGTAAGGGAGCGGGAACGGTGGGGAAACC